CCAAGTCCGGTGGGAGGGGAGGCGGTGGGCTACCATGTGGCGGTGGTTCCCTCCCCTCCGCTAGATCGGGAGGGAGGGGAAGCGGCCTAGCAGCTGCGGCAGCGCCATTACGCCATTACGGCTTGTCTGGAGTCTGCAGGAGGTCTCGTCTATACAAATCAATTATAATTATGCAGTAGTGTAGGTTGAGGTGCAGCTCTCATTGAACAAGCTCATTCCCGTCGCCTCCTCCATCTCGCCCTCCCTTCAATAATATGGCATATATTCTTAAGTATAAATTTGTTGTTAAAAATGATTGAAGTTTTAATATAGACGATTATTTAAAAGTAAGACATTAATATAAAATAGTGAGCAGACAAGGACGTACTTCTGTCGCCATTGAGACTCCAAATATCTCCCTATCCACCTTCGTCTCCGACTACGGTTGGGATTCCAGAACTTTCTAGCCAGAGAGGGTGTATGACAAAGGCACAAAAGCAAAGGAGAGCAATCTGATGTACCGTGCATAATCCATGGCACCAAGGGACACTATAATTTTGCTTATGTTTGTCTTAATCCACACCGTTTATTAGCAAACAAAAAATAATTTATGAGTATTTTTTATATATATTCATCTTTGCCTATCATTAATGATGTAAAAGCAAATATTGTGAAATAAACAGTGATAAAAAACCATATAATTAACTTTAAAGATTAAGTTTTAAACTTCAACTGTTTTAGGTAATTATAAGCATAATTGAAATGTTGAGGTTGAAGGCATCCACCACAGGTCCACAATTATATGCTATCGCAGTAGTAATACATAGTATACAGTACAACTTATTTACTACTCCCTCCATTCTCCATTCCAAAATATAAATATTTTTAGACTATCACACAGTTTCCGAGATGCTACTTTAACCAGCAATATTATAAAAGTAGAATATTTTAAATAAAACGAGTTGTATATTATGATAGTTTGTTTAATAATAAATTAAGTAACATCAATTTTACATGATTAATATTTTTTATTTTTTTACTATTAATAGTTAAAGTTAAAAATATTTGATTTATCACTATGCTAAAAATGCTTATATTTTGAGATGGAGAGAGTAGTTGCTTTGGGAAATCGCCAGCCTTCGATGCATCCATAATTTCTTACAGTTCCATGCATGACAAGGGAAAAAAAGATAGTAAAATATGAATATATGATACAGTATACAACACAAGTTAAATAGTATTTATTTTTGGATGGGTCAGCCGTCAAACAAACTTTGAGGATAACTACAAGTTCAATGCAGAAATTCCCTTAGTTTGATTGACGTTGACGAATATAAAAATATTTTTCAGTGTTTTATCCTTGACGGCTGCCCACAGGAAAATATAACCAACGTCAGGTTTTTCCAGGTCCAGTCAAATGTCAAGTCTTAATTTTGAATTTTAGATTATAATCCAAGATGATTGTGAAGTTTAAAATTCGGTTTTAGGTTAAATTTTAGTTGTTTTTTCTGCAACATTAATTGTTCGCGTGCTCTCTTTTCATGATTGCAATAAGACAGGAAAATATCTAAACGAAAATCTTAGTAAACCAAACTTCGGGTCACTAGTAGGAGAATGATTTTTCCATGCGGTTGAATCTGACTTTCGCCTGCGGGTGGGCGGCCCGCACACAACAACCAAGGTCTGCGAAAATCACGATTTTCGCGTGCGGGTGCTTATGTCGCCCGCACAGGAAAATAAAAATCTGGGAAAATAATTTTCAAAAAAACCAATCCGCCGGTGGCTCTGCCGCTCCCGGCAGCCGCCGCCTCCTCCTCCTCGTCGTTGTCGTCGTCGTCGCCGGCCTCCGCGGATCCGAATCCTGCGCTCCCACTGGCCTCCGGGCTCCCCTCCGGCTGCACCGCCGCCGATGCCCCTCCCCTCCGCCGGATCTGGGGAGGGAAGGAAGGGGAGGGGAGCGGGATCCCACCGGGGTGGGGGGAGCGGCCGCCGCCCACCGGATCGCGCTCGCCATCGCCGCGCCGCCGCGCACCGTCGGGACTCGGGGAGAGGAGAGGACGATGGGGAAAATGAGGAGAGGAGAAAAGGAGGAGAGGAGGGAAGAAAAAGAGAGAGAGAAGAGAGGAGAGAAAGTGGGTAGCAGGGAAAGAGATGGTGGATATTTTTGTGTGCGGCTCTCTTAATAGGTCCGCACGCGAAAATAGGCACATTTTCACGTGCGGTCCATTTAAGAGGACGCGCTATTTTTCCAGACACAACCAGTTATGATCCGTTTGCAATCTAAATGACTCCATGTTTAGGAAAATCTTTTGTGTGGTAATGGGTTACAACCCAAACCTGAAACAACCTAGGGCCAAAGCCTATTTGGAAAAGCTTTGATTTCACTTTTTTTTTGGCAGATATATATAGAGTTTGTAGGCTAATGTGAAGTTTTATCAATAATGGAAATAAAGTATAAACTAATTGATGTCATGCACTTTGCTGTAGAATATATGATGAATGTGTATTACATGTTACATAATGTAATAATTGTAGATGATATAACATGTGTATATTAGAGTTAAAATTATTTCTAACATATAATAATTTCTAGAGCTGCTAATGGGTGATGAAGTGTCATGTTTGTATGTTAAGCTTTAGAGCTAATTTTTTTAGATAATGGAATATAACATCCCGACCTTTGCTCAAAAGAGCTATAGCCCATTATTATAATCTAGCACTCAAAACAAGTATTGTCCAAAAATAAAAGCAACCAGCGCATAAAGATAAAAATAACCAGTAAAAGATACGGAGAACACATTATTAAAGTATATTTGTGAATCTCCATCCATAATTGGCAAAAAACTGCATAACCATCGACTCAAGCTTTCTGCATGCAACTTTTAAAAACTCTCTGTATTCATCCTACTTTTGTAACTGTGCTCAAAACCGGAGCCAATATGTTGCCCTGAAAATTACCCGCATATATAAAATATATGGTGATTTATGAAAAACCATGTTTGCATGTTAAGCTTTAGAGCTAATTGGTTCTAACTAATAACTGTTAGTGATGATATGGTATGTTTGCACATTAAACTTAGAGTTAGTGGGTTACCTATACAAAAGGTATAGATAACACCCCTTCGACAAATAACCCTGATTTACCTTAGCCAGAATTATTTTTAGCGCTAGAGATATGGACTATAACTTTTTTTTCAATGAACAAAATGGCCTTCTGAACCGTCTGAACCGGATCATCATTGTCTATTCATTTTAAATCGACACCAATGTATCACAGTTGGTTTTTGATATCAACAAAACAGGGGTAGGAATGAAGTATCATGATTGATTCATAACACGACCAACATTGATATTCAATATTGGATAGTCTACACCATAGTTTGTGTATTGAGTGTCGATTCGGTAGTGATACTTAAATGACAGTTTGTTTTTAAAAGAAATTAATAAATTTTCATATGAAATTGGATAAAGATAAATTTTATGTTAAAGTTTAGATAGTTCGATAAAATCCACGACTATTGTTTTGGATTTAAGAAATGACTTCGAATGGAGACAAACTTTATATGAAAATTATATGAAAAGTATTATCACTGATGGAGAAATGATTTTTGCTGGGTCGACCCAAAACGACAATAATCCCGGTTCCAAAAAGAACCGGGACTAAAAATGATCTTTAGTCCCGGTTGAAAACCCCAGAGGCATTCTATGATCTTTAGTCCCGGTTGGTGTTATGTTTAGTCCCGGTTCATCCCCTGTCAGATTGATGTCAGGGGGCCTACCAACCGGGACTAAAGATCACCACTTTAGTTCCGGTTGGTGTTCCCACAGATCCATATCCCTTATCCTCTCCTCCACAGATCGAATCTCTCCCCTTCTTTCCCTTCCTCCTCTGCTTCCTACATCCTCATCCCGATCCATCCCCTCCACCTCCTCCCCTTCCTCATCCGATCCCCTCCCCTCTCCTCCACCTCCTCCTCTCCCCTTCCTGTCCATCCTCCCCTTCCCCTCCACCTCCTCCCCTTCCTCATCCCCTCCCCTCTCCACCTCCTCCTCTCCCCTTTCCTGCCCATCCTCCCCTTCCCATCCGGCAGCCGACGGCCGCGGCGACGGGCCGAGGCGGTGGGCCGGCGGCCATGGCGGGCGGCAGCAACGGAGTTGTTTTCTCTTTTTTTTTTTAATTTGTGATTCACATGTATAATTTTGTGATTTATTGGATGGATCTGAGATGACCTGTGATGTATTTAATTTGTGTGTAATTTTTTAGGATTTGTGATGTATTTGATTTGTGTGTATATGTAACTTTAAGATTTGTGATGTTACTTTATTTGTGATGTGGATTTGGGGTGTTACTTTGATTTGGGGATATGCTTCCCACTTGATTTGGGAAAAAATAAAAAAAAAGAAAAGGGGACCATCTGGAACTGCCGTATTCTCTCTTTACTCCCGGTTGGTGTTACCAACCGGGACTAAAAAGATGGATCTTTAGACTAAAGATCCATCTTTAATCCCGGTTATTTGAACCGGGACTAAAGATAGTGATCTTTAGTCCCGGATTCGTAGTCCCAGTTGAAAAACCGGGACTATAGGGGGTTACGAACCGAGAGTAAAAAGCAATTCTCCACCAGTGTATGCTCAACAGGATCTTTGTAGTAGTTTTCTTTTGAAACCATTGAAAATGTCAAATAATTACAAGTTTCAGACAATATATAGCAAAGACTAAAGAGAAAGTTATACGCGCTGAGAGAGATTTTAGGTTTGAATCCTATAAACTATACGCACACAAAAATTTTATACGGAGTATTAGTAAATATACAAAATATTTATGAATTCGGAAACACCATAATGGACTACCCTGAAAAAAAAATTACAGGTAACAATAATTTTATAACATGGTAAAGTAAGACGAACAAAATAGAGAACAAAATAAAACGTCGCCTAAAAGAAACAAAAAAGAAAGCCTTAATTCTTCCGAAAAAATTCCCCTCCGCACGTACAGCAGCTAGCTGCACGATGCGGCGCCCCCACCATGACTGCAAAATTTCCAAGTTTCTCGCTAGTTTAAATGCACGCCGCTAGCTTAGCTACTCTCTTCCACCCACAACCCCCAAGCATCAGCATCACAACCCACCAATCGAATCGATCGAACAAGACACGACACCATGCGCCGCCGCGTCTCCTCCTCCTCCTCCTCCTCCTCGTCCTCGTCGCCGGCGAGGCATCACAAGGCGCGGCGCAGCAGGAGGAAGCTCGCCGTCGACGAGGACTGGGAGGCCGCCTTCCGCGAGTTCCTCTCCCGCGACCACGACGACGACGACGACGACCACGACGGTCAGCATGTCGTTGTTGCGCCGTTGATCCGTGGTAGTGACAAGTGCGTCCACGGCCACGAGGTGGTGGCGTCGACGGTCGGCGGTGGCGCAAGCGGCGGACGACGACGAGCCGACGACGACGACGGCGAGCGGCGGCGGCGGCGGCGGAGGGAGAAGCGGAGCTACCCGTACCGCGGCATCCGGCAGCGGCCGTGGGGGAGGTGGGCGTCGGAGATCCGCGACCCCGTCAAGGGCATCCGCGTCTGGCTCGGCACCTTCGACACCGCCGAGGGCGCCGCGCGCGCCTACGACGACGAGGTTCGCCGCATCTACGGCGGCAACGCCAAGACCAACTTCCCCCCATCGCCGCCCACGCCGCCGCCGCCGGAGAAGCCAGCGGCGGAGAGGAGCCCCTCGACGACGCCGACGACGACCACGGAGGACTCCGGCGACTCGCGCATACTCATCGAGTGCTGCTCCGACGACCTGATGGACAGCCTCCTCGCCGCCTTCGACATGACCACCGGCGACATGCGCTTCTGGAGCTAACGAACAACAGAGCAGATTCAGGTAATTAAATCCACACCCAAGCAGGTCTAAAAGTTTTTAACAATTTCATGAAACAAAATTAACAACAAATCCAGTAAGATAAATAGGATTTAACAAGGATTGCAATGGTAATTATTGCACAATTTTACCATTTCGGTGCTTTCAACTGTTCAATCACCGAAAGAAATTCAGCAACTTTTGAAGGGCACTGCTACGCGTACTTAATTTCTTTTTTTCTTCTACAAAACACTTTCTAAACAAGTTCTCGAATGTTCCATTTAATTAGATGGGAGTAAAAAAGAAATCCAGAATTAGTTATAGCATGTGGCATTAGCCATGAAAGTTTTAGTAAAAAAAATTTGCACTTTTGAATGATCTAGATCATAGAGGATCAGTCGAATTCTGTGTGTTCATGCCATTTCTAGCATTTACGTGCAGTATTAAATAAAGTTACTACTATTTTTTTCTTGTTTTCTCTATGTTACTCATCATGATTTTACATTTTTCTTTCCCTTTTGACAGGACAACATAAACGGCACGTCTTTGCAACCTTGACATGCGACTCGCCTAATAATCTTGTCAAACAAGGGCCGCCAGCTTAATTAGCTTTTTCCAAAGGTGGGGAACAATTTTGGGGGATGCAATTAGGACGCACAGAGATGACCCCAACTTGTCAATGGGAATTGAACTCTGATGACCTTTGTAATGATAATCAAGGCACCACATTGTGGGGTTAAGCAAAGTTTTGGCAAATTAGCTTTGCCTTGCAGGAATAAATCAGCATTTCTTTTTTTTTCCTTTCACTGGACCCCAATAAGGTAATTTGCATACATATGTCCCATGGATCGAACAATATGAAAAGTAATTGTATAGTGTTGGTTGCAGAGGTTATCAACACTTATTCGGGTTACCGCGACTCTCGATTAGTCAATCACCCTCTATATATGCTATTGTTGTCGTGATGTTGTCATGGTTATGTACGCTGTGGTTCCCTAGCTTGGGTTGTAGAGTTCGACGCCAAGTTTACTACCATATACCATAAATACAATTCCAAATCCAACTATAATCAAATAGGCCTTATATATTTTAATCTATTCTAACAAATTTCACTGTTATGAATATACCACTATCTAGAAGATGTTCAATTACCATATCGTATCACAAGTCCTTCGTACTTGACTTGAGTTGTTATCTTCGTAGCTTCATTTGATTCGCTCGACAAATCTAATTGTTCGAACTCACCACATGGAAGAGCCATCACCGCTAGCACTCACAACTCTGGCCCCCCATGACAATATGTTAAGAACTAGGCCAAGAGGAACTTTGCAAGCAAAATGGAAGATTGGAAGAACAGACAATCATCAGCATGATAATAATTAAAAAAACTACTCCCTAACCGCTTTTCCTAATTACAGATATCTCTATTATTAACAGCGGAGTCATCCGTACTCCCACCGCTCTCCCTCTCGCGTTAAAAAATCCCTATTAAAAAGCGGTAGTTTAAAAAAAAGTCATACTCCAAATTATATATGGAGCCATTACAATACACGAATATATTATTACTAATATAAGAAAACAAATTCAAGTAAACCAAGTTAGATTGCCTCAGTGCGATTTCGACAATTTCAGGAAGTAATTTATCAAGGCATTCATCATCACCGATCAACAAAAGTTCATCGCTGACAAGTCAGAGCAAGCATCTTTCTAACCATAAGCATTAGCATTAGCATTAGCAGCTGATTGCACGCGTCTTTTATTCAAAACAGCATTAGCGTCTTATTTTTTTAAAAAAAAACTGTAACAATATTAGCATCTTTCTAATCATGCTATGACAGGCATCGGTAATTCACTATGATGGACTCATCGTCGGCACTCGCGGCAGAGCACCTACTGCTAGCATGACATGACATGAGTACTTAACCTTTGGTTTGATTTGATTTACTACTCCACAACAACCAGCTAGTACTACTGATCATCTCTTGTAGCTGCCAAATGATTTTAAACTTTTTTTTTTGACATGGTAAATGATTTTAAACTTGAATGGCAATTTTTTTGCCCTGAGCGGCTGTTCTTTTGTCCCATATTTTTTTTCTTCTAAAAAGGTTGAACGGCTAAACAGCTGAATAATTTCTATAGTAATTATTGGATGTACAAACGAATAAATTAAATACTATAAAGTTAAAAATAAATTTAAAATGGTATTATACATGAAAAGTTTTTAAAGATCGCATAGTTTAGAAGCTTGAGAAGTGTGCGCAATCATTCATCGTTCCATTCCTTAAAAAAAAAAGAACAAGAGAATCAAAATCTGAACCATCAACCATGTAGTTCAGTCGTTATAACTCGTAAGAAAATGGTGGCCTAACCTCCTCCTAATAACACAAAAAAAACAAGTATGGAAGAAAAATGGATGTCGTAAATGTCAATATCAAGCAGGTAGTCAATCCATCGAGATCAGGAGGGAGCTTTCCACCGGTGAGCCGATCAGAGAATGGAGAGGAGGAGGAGGAAAGTGGATCACCTATCAGGGAGCCGCGTCGGCGGCGGAGGATGGAGGAGGCGGCGGCCGGAGCCGGAGCCCGAGATGAGGAGTCGGCTCGAGGTTGGGTTTTCTTGCATGCCAGGCCATCTGCCGCGTGGGCCTGGACCTTCAAGGCCTATTTCACGCTTCACTTCCCCTTTTTTTTAACTGAAATGAAAATTTCTTTTACCAGTTCCAACTTATTTTTCTCGGTGAATATCTGTACTACTTTAAAAATTGAGGACTGCTACAGCACGGGATACCGTTCGAACGGTACACTTTAATGAATCGATTTTTTTTCCTCTCATGCTCGAGATTGTGCAAAAATACAATGAAACAGAAGGGCTCCCCTTGGCTCCCTTGCTCAGCCATAGCAATAGCAAAGGAGGGAGGCATTGAGGAGAGAAAGAGAGAAGAGGAGTCAGTGACAGGTCGCTCCACGATCGCCTAAGAGGCAACTACACGTACCTCCCTCTCCGCGATTTGGTACCAAGTACTTAGGGTACCAGACTTGATCCCTAAAGGTACCAGATCCAGTACCTGGTACCTCGGTATAGGGTACCGCCCATCGTGGTACCAAACCTTGGTACCAGGGTGTCGGGTATCAGATACCCTCCATACACAAAAGTTACACATATTCCACATTTGAGTTTTTCCAAATAAGTTATTCCTATTTGTAGTGTTATGTATTCAAGGCTTAAATGAAGAGATAAATTAAATGTTTACTAGAATTCAAGGAGTCATCTAAATACTCATTGGTTGCATGCTTGCATTCTCTCCTCAATTTTGTAACATTCAAGGTGATTTTAATTTCTCCTTGGTCTTGGTGTCAAAAGTAATATGTGTAATTTTCCATTTGCGAATATGCCTTTTGGCTTATTCCATCAAACAGCCAAACGATGGGGCTGTAAGTTGACCCATATAGACGGAATAATGTTCTATAGTATTTCTGTAAAAATATGGCCGTTCTCTTCTCTTCCCTACCGAACCGGCCTACCCCCACCCTGTATTACTCTGCATCCGACCCCTTCCCCTGTATTACTCTTGATCCCATTGCAATTCATGGGTATAGCACTAATGTGTAAAAAAGGTAGAACATTATTCTCCACAATTTATTCTAATAACAAAGTGGAGAAAGTGTGTAGAAAAAAGGTGGTGCGTACAAATTGAAAAAAATTACCTCAAAATACCTTCTATAAATATTGATATTCAGAGGTGGGTCCCTAAGCCACCTGCATGTGAAAAATGCTTTTTCTTAAAGAGAAAGAAAAATAAAATAGAACAACGTCGATTTAGATCCATCGGAGAGCACATCTACATTAGAGAGTACCATGGCCAAGCTCAAAACATCAACATGCACTAGAACATGAACAAGCAACGACTTCAATATGAGCAGCATAACATGAACAACAACAGTTTCGCCATCATCGTCTCAGTCCTTGCGCGAACACCACCGCCAAGCACCACAGCCTCAATCTAGATCTGGTTATGACCGCAGCTATAGGAACAGCAAGTGGTTCAGAATGCATTTAGATCCGGTACTCCTGATCGGCGCTCCCAAGCATTGGTGCACAAGATCCGACCTCCTCCATCTTCCTTCCCTCCCCCTCTGCACTTCACCGACACCACTGCCCTTCTCCTAGTAAGCTTGAGGTGAGTGGAGAGAGAGAAAGAGGGAGGGAGGGAGGGATGAGAGGTTGGGGAGAGACCAAGGAAGATGAGGGCTCAGATCTCACCTTGGTTGTCCCACTCTCCTATCGGAATCCATGCCAGCACCCCTCCCAGATGGTACCTAGCCCTGTGCTGGGCCTCCTCATTCTCGCCACAGTATCTATTGTAGGGATGGCAATTTTACCCATGATGGAAACAATTATATATATATAACCACCATGATGCAATGAAGAAAAGTCAATTGACTCATTGCATCGTCTTCCCTATCCCTATGGCGCCTATGAAGAACAATACAAGGGTGCTATGGCTAGCAATTCTAGTGGTCATGTCCATCACCTTCTTCTACCAGCATGCAATAGGGAGGAGCATAAGTATGCTTTTATCTATTTTATCTCCCGAATGATCACATGATCGTCCGCTCCCCGGTTGGGCAGTAAGCGTCGGAGAAGGTCAATCACATATTGGAATTAGAAATTGTGTTCTGCATAGGTTTATTGGATGGTCCAGATCTAAATTGGTCATGTTCTCTGATTAGTGAGTGCCCTGCCTATCAATGCGTGCTCTTCTGTAAAGACCGTGGTTTCAAGGAGGGTGAAAGCTGCTACAAGATCAAATGAGATATCTTCTGTAGCTGTGGACATATCCCATGGATTCCGCCTCCGGGGATACCACATGTTTAGAGTTTTTCTTTTAAAAAATATTGACCGCTAAGGGTCTAAGAGATGATGCTGTGATGAGGTGGATCATAAATTTATAATAGAGATGATGCTGTGATGAGGTAGATCATAAATTTATAATAGTCTCGTATGGAACCATTGTTTTAAGATGTTTTTGATGCTTAGCAAAGTTACATGTTCTTTTATCTTAACTGTTAACACTATCATGCTTTAAAAAAGAACACATCAGTTTGATAAGGAAAATAATTACAATGATCACAGTTCATAAAATAGCATGAAAAAAACAAGCAAATATTATGGGTTGGAATCAATAGAATCCCTTCCAAGTTAGTCGGAAGCTTTAAACCTTTTAAAATGGAAAAGTTATAACTTAGAGGCCCACCAGCAGCGCCAGCGCAACAAGGCAGAAAAATAAAAAAAGCCGAAGAACTAAAATTCTCCACCCACCTGAAAAAAAAAAAAATTCTCCGCCCGAAATCGCGACCCCACCAAAGTCCAAACCCCGCATTCCCCCCACGCTTTCCCCCCCGCGAGCCTTCTGGAAGAAGCACGCATCGATTGACCGCGACCGACCTCGCCGCCGGCGACCGTACGGATTCCGCCCCTCCCCGCCGCGGCGGCGGCACCACCGGGGCGCGCGCGCCGGGATGGCGCTGGAGCTGAGCCTGGTGTCCGCTTCGCCCCCTGGTGGGCTGGCGGCGAGCCCGCCCCCGCCCGCCGCCATCCCGGGGAAGGAGCAGCAGGTGGCCGGGGTGGGGATCCTGCTGCAGATCTCCATGCTCGTGCTCTCCTTCGTGCTCGGCCACGTCCTCCGCCGCCACCGGTTCTACTACCTCCCCGAGGCCAGCGCGTCTCTCCTCATCGGTACGTACGCGCGCTACGAATTGATCGTGCGAGTCGCAAACCCTAGCTGTCAAGGATCGTTTCGTTTATAGAGTTTGGATTAGTTTGTTGAGGTGATTATTGGTTTGTGGGATTTAGAAATTAGAAGTGGGATGTTCAGATGGAGATGGTATGGGGATTGATGCATGTTTCCGATGCCCTGCAAATACTGTGAAGGGTTGGAATTCAGTGCCATTCTAGGTGAAATGCGAAAATGAGCCGGGATCATGCTAATAATGTAGATAATTCATTTTGTCTGCCTTTGCCTCTGTGGTAGCTTTTCTACAAGAAACTTAATTCTAGATGAAATTTTCAGCGAAATGAGAAGGGATCATACTATTAATGCAGATGATTCATTTAGGAGATGCTGCATGGTAGCACTTAATTTGTCTACCTTTGTACCCCATTTATTGGGATACACAATTCTTTCGAGCCATGGCATCATAATATTAGGTCCCGTTTGTTTCCACTACAAAGAGTGGATAAAGTTTTGGATATTCGTGGCACGCTTTTCAAACTGCTAAACGGTGCGTTTCGTGCGAAAACTTTCTATATGAAGGTTGCTCTAAAATATTAGATTAATATATTTTTCAAGTTTGTAATAATTAAAACTTAATTAATCATACGTTAATACCACCTCGTTTTGGGTAAAATACTTAGTCTTCATCTTTATCTTTATCTTGAGGAGAAAAGAACACCACCTTACTAAAGTTAACACTAACTAGCTAGATTCTATGGCATAGGGCGTCACAGCATGAGTAATTTTTTAAAGAAAAAGATCACCGATAATATGTTCTGAGTTTATCACAGAAACAAGTTGATGATATGATAATTTTATATTAAAAAATAGAGCTGTATCAATGAGACCGTGGAAAGATAGAACCTCAAGTAAAAAGGGAACGTAAAGAATGGATCAACACCATTTCCTTGTATGGTCATAAGCTGGTAGAAGGAATAGAAGAAATGGATAAATCATACGTTTCGACTAGAATAATGGCAGTTTTTTGTTGGCTTATTTCTGTTTTTTGGTTGAGTTTAATGCCATTTAAGTAATGCCATGAATGGGAATGCAAATTATATATAAAAAATAAAAATCAATACATAGATTTAAGGACCTCCCCTCAAATGTACATGGCGCTGTAAGTTTTCCTTTGCTTGATTTTTTTATGTAGTTAATTTGGGGTAGGAACTAGTTCCATGGTTTCTGTTTTACCTTGTTCCCCTCATATGGAGAAATTGCATGACCTGTCATCCATTTGTGTTACCCTGCAAGTTTCAAGTCTGGAAAAGAGAAATTTAAATGAAAATTTGTTGAATTTTCTTATTCCGCTTGCCTTGTTGTTACTCATGGGAAACTCAACAGTAGGGTCAATATTAAAGTCATAAATGATACATGAGTAAAAACATATGTTCTTAATAACAAACCATTTTCAAGTATAAATGCTCGATTTGCATGCCTTGATTAGTAGTAGCTATCCTTTGATCAAGGTGAACAACTACAATCCATGTTCTGCTTGCATAGAAGCTGAGCTGATGCAAATCAAGCTCAGTTACATGAGTAAAAACTTCATCATGAAAATAAGTTGAGTTCTCTAGTTCTTTTGTATTTTCTTAAATTTGTCATATGATTTCCTTTATGACAGACTCGCGATATCAATATCATTTTGATCATGCATATTGTGGACACCCTTTATGTATGGAACTTTAATGATTCTGTTACAGGTCTAGTTGTCGGTGGGCTTGCTAATATTTCAAATACAGAGACCAACACTAGGTTTGTGTTGTTTTATTAACATTTATACACAATGCAAGAGTATTTTTCACATGATGTAGACATATGCTATGCAAGATTTGGGAGTTATTTCATTCCCGTATCATGCTTATTATTATCAGGAATTCAGGATCTTATGCATGCTGTATGTATGCTTTCCATTGATTCTATCTTGTTTCCTTCAATGTGCAGGATGTGGTTCAACTTCCATGACGAATTTTTCTTCTTGTTCTTATTGCCTCCAATAATATTATATCCTTTTGATTTTCAAATTCAAACTTAATTTCTTATACTGTTCTAAAAGATGCTTCATAATATCTGAATACGTTTTCCTTGACTTCATAGAACCCAATCAGGATTCAGTCTATCCCCAGTAAGTACCTCATGATGGCAATAATTCAAATTGTCTAGACTTCTTTCCTTGAAATAATAATATATTTTTTTACAGAAACCATTCTTTGCAAATTTTGGGGCTATTGTAACTTTTGCCATCCTTGGGACATTCATTGCTTCTGTTGTAACAGGAGTTCTCGTGTAAGAATTTCACAAACTTTTTGTTCTAATTCTGTCTGAAGTATTTTATCTTACTAGTCAACCTCTATCATACTGCAGCTATCTTGGTGGGTTGACATTTCTAATGTACAAACTTCCATTTGTTGAGTGCCTCATGTTCGGTGCTCTTATATCTGCAACTGATCCTGTCACTGTGTTATCAATATTCCAGGTGCTTATTTTTTTCACGTATCTCGTTCTTGGACATGTGTACTTATAATTCACGTAACTGCCTTGCATGGCTAGAAGGTGATTAGGATATCATATAGATATAGATTGGGAAGAAAACTTTGTATGAGATGCTTAAATTTTTCATGCACGAAACTGCACACATACACATACACACTTTACCAATATGAGTAAACCTCTTATCTCAGGAAACCTATCCTAAACCATGTACTACATCTATAGGGAAACATGCCTAACTAGCAAGATGACTAAGGTACCGTTTGAATTAGCAAATCCATCATTTGATTTTCAGCTTATAATAAGCCACTGCTAAATTTGATTTTTAAAACTTAATTTTGGAGTTGATTTTGGGGTTTCTTCATCATGTTTTATTTTTGAGCATTGGCTTTTAAACTACGAATAACACAGATATAAACGGTTTACACATAATTTCTTTTGGGTTGCTTCTATGCCGTTTTATGGCTTATCAGATATAGGCCAAACAATAAGACTGTAGATGATTGGTGGATGAAAGCTGCTGGATGATTTACTTGAATATAGGGATAAAATAAATATTATATATCGTAAACTGAACAAATAGCTTATAACAAGTGGTCCAAGGAAGCAATGCAGTAGAAGATTTTTTTTTTTTTTGAGAAAACATAGTTTTAGAAGCGTGGAGCAAATAATCCGGTGGATAGTCTGAAAAGAACAGGGCCTAAGTATTAATGCACCAGCAGGGCTAGGAAACAGCACATATTGATACACTCTTGTGAACAGATTTTTGTTTGAACTTCGCTGTTGCATTATGATTTCTATATTACATGATGTTGTCTAATACAAAAAGAAAATTTTAATGAGGTTGTAAGCAGTCAATAAATCAGAAGTTGTCTCTGTTGTTTGATGTTTTAAAATTGTTGTGTTCTCATTCTTGAAAGACGCATCATCTTCATTTCTTTATATTGCTACTAGTGAAGCATACCATAGACTCTCAGTACTATACATGGAACCCCACTTTTAGAGGCAAATGATTGTTTATGTAAGTAAATGTAAAATAGAAACCTGGTTGCAATGCTAAATGAATATGAAACATTCTGAAAGCAAATATTATCCTAATGCCCAGGTAATTGATAAAAAATGTGCTAAACTCGTAACACTGTTTTGTTGTAGTTTCAGTGTTGTACCATATTTTTGGTAGCATTTGGCTTGAACTTGAAAACAGATCATTACTACTAGATTTTGATGCACCATCAGAATTTACAACAGAAGTTTGTGGTGGTAAAGTTACTGTATATTTAGTGTAACATACTGAATCAGTGCATGCAGCCATTATTATTATTTTTTATGTACTTTGATATATGTCCTTAGCCAATGTTTTTTTTAAAGATGTTCCATTGTTTAAATATGGCATATTAAAAAATGTTGGAGGATTAGTGGCCATATGGATGTTGGGAATCTGAACTAATGATGCATCTCCTGAAATTATTCCATGCAGGAGCTGGGCACTGATGTTAACTTGTATGCTCTTGTGTTTGGAGAATCTGTTCTAAATGATGCGGTTTGTTTTTACTTCTTTCGAGTGCATGCAATAGTAGTAATTACTTTTGTTTATGACTAACATGCATATCTTATTTGGATAGTGCAGATGGCGATTTCGCTTTACAGGTCTGTCTCTTTCAATTACATATAATTCTTTTGACATATGCATTTCTTGCTTATATCTATCCTTTTGTTCAGGACAATGTCATTGGTCAGAAGTCAAGCAGCAGCTGGGGAGAACTTCTTTATGATGGTTTTCCAGTTCCTTGAGACCTTTGTTGGTTCATTGTCATCAGGTTGCATCACAGCTCAGAATATTCTCAACTATTTCAAAGGGACCTTTGGCATTGTGGTTGCCTTCTAAAATTGGTTCTGTTTGATGCAAGCTAATGAACATCATATATTTTAGAGCAATATAAGAATTATTTTACTAGAATAGGTAAAAACAATGTTTTAATGTATGGTACATAACAGCACAGCAGGGCACAGTATTAATGGCTGGATCTTATATAATATGCTACCCCTTCATGTTAGCAAAAATGCTCTAGCAAGTTTAGTCATAAACGTTCTCCCTTTTGAGGAACTAGACTCTGATGATCAAATACCAAAATTTAGTTTTATACCGTAGATGCCCGGAAAATATGTACCTGCTTTTACTCGGGGTTGAAATTTTCTGGACAACGATATATTCTCCATCACTAATTCGAACTGATCTAGTCCCTTTCATAGTCATTGTCAATTCATTAGCTCATGTAACCATTCCATTTGTCGGATTGCAGGTGTTGGAGTTGGATTTATCTCTGCTCTTATATCCTTTTCCTAAGTTCTACATGGAAACTCTGTTTGCAAAACATGAAAGACTATGCATGCTTAGTATTGACCAGTGTGTGTTTAATCTTATCTTCATATACCAATTCAAAATCTTCCTCTTTAAACAACTTTCACAAGAAATGTTCTTCTCTTAGATTAGCAGCAACAAAGAAAACATGGTAGAATCTAAATTGCAATATTCATTTTCTTCTTATGGTCATGTTTTCCATTGCTCTTATTGAATGTTAGCTAAATCTTCATATGCTTTTTAGTGGCAGTTGTGTTATCAGTCCTTGGCTCCTTATAGCTTTGTGTAAAATGCATTATTTTTTTCTTTGTAATAGTGTTAAATTGCAATATTTATGTATTACTATTTACCATTTACTCATTGCTTGTTTTACGGTAAATTATTTTATTTACTACTTGATCTTGTGCAACCTTGACCACTCTGTGTACCTGTTTAAGTATGCTGGACTGGATATTGACAAGTAAGTCATATCATGCTACCTGCTTTTAGTTCATAGACTTTTTCATGATTTCATACGAAATATGTTGCCAGTCTAAGCCTGCTGAATTGTTAACGGTTTCAGTCTTCAAAACTTGGAGTGCTGCCTTTTTGTTCTCTTCCCATACTTCTCGTAAGGACACTTAAATACTTCACTCTACCCTTCTTCTATACTTTTTTTATTAAAATATTTCGTATCAATTCTAGGTATATGTTAGCAGAAGGACTTGGGTTGTCAGGAATTGTTTCCATACTATTCACAGGAATGGTAAGTACAATATGCAATATTGCAAAATAGCATATTATATGAAAAACCATATCTGCACACCATGGCTATGTCTCTTGGAATCATACTTGCTATTTTTTTTTCTCAGGTTATGAAGCACTATACATTTTCCAATCTCTCAAACAACTCTCAGCGCTTCGTTTCTGCCTTCTTTCACTTGCTGTCATCTTTAGCAGAAACATTTGTGTAAGCTCAGGAGCTTTGTTTGAGTAATATAAAAACAACCATTCCCTTTTGCTCTTAATGGACAATTCCTGAATTCATTTTTCAGGTTCATTTATATGGGCTTTGATATTGCCATGGAAGAACATAGCTGGTCTCATGTGGGCTTCATATTCTTCTCAATTGTATCCTTAATTTTGTTTTTCATTTTCCTAAATCGCCAGTTTTGGCCTTTTCTCTGTTTGGTAGAAAATTGGTTCCTTGACTTACTGAACAACACAGATATTTATAATCATTGCAAGGTACTGTCATGACTTATGAGCCCTCTATGCAAATATAATACTTAATTGGCAGCCAAAGCCACAGTTTTGTCCTGATTTGCAAAATTATGTCTTCTCTATAGTAAAAGCATGTAGTAGTGGGATGTATATGAAAGATCTATCCCTTATTTATGTGCATCTATGACCATTCAATACAGTTTAGACTTTAGAGAAATGATAGATGTCGCGAGAGCTTATATCATTTATCTACATGCTTGAATATATGACTGCAATAATGTTAGACCAGATGTAGAAAATCTGTCCCAAGTGTCAAATTGATCAGTTCCAAGTTAAGCCTCAGTGTAGGAACAGAATTTTCACAATTTTTCACTTGCATTTATGATGTAATTTATATGTACTCCCTCCTATTTTAAATTACTTGTGGTTCTAGGTTTTTCCTAAGTCAAACATTCTAAGCTTTGATCGTCCATTTCTATACACTTGTATAGTTTAACATCATAAGCTTTACTCCCTCCATCCCAAAATATGTTGACTTTTAGCTGGCAAGAAGTTGCTATATTTTGGGACGGCGGTAGTATATTTTTAGATTCACCCTGAGAAATATACGGATTTCTAAAAATTAATGGTCAAAGATTGACATGTTTGACTTAGGACAAACCTAGAACGATAATTAATTTGAAACAGAGGGAGTATTCAGTTTTACATTGGTTGTTTCTCATCTTGGCGGTGGTGTTTAACTTTATACATTATTTACTCTGCAGGGCAGTAAATGTCTTTTCTTGTGCATATTTGGTTAACATGTCACGGCCAGAACATCGACGCATACCTCTAAAGCATCAGAAAGCACTTTGGTTTAGTGGTGAGGGCAGATCGCCATTACAGCTGGTAGTTTATATGATTCACATTTCATTCAAGATAATTGTTCTTATTTGTACAAACAGGGCTTAGAGGGGCCATGGCTTTTGCACTTGCTCTCCAATCTGCCAATGAACTTCCTGGAGGACATGGAAAAACAATATTCACAACCACCACAGCTATTGTTGTTTTAACGGTACCTGCACGTTTTCCATTTTCTATTACTTTGACTTCAATAAATGGTGACACTATTGATTGGAATGCTATTGTTTATTCTTACGGCCGTCCTTCAGATGGCATGTCATGCTTGCACATATACTCTACTAGTTGGGTAACTTCTCTGTGCATATGGTACTTTCAAATAGGCAATTTATTGTTGATGTGGCTGCCTTACAAAATTAGTTCCATAGACCAACCAAAATTTTCCAAACCATTAGGAAAATACAAGGCATGGAAATTCAAATTGCTACATGCATTCTGTGCATTTTTTTTCCTGGTGTTGCACGTATGGGAGTCCTGAATCATTGAACTAACAATGAGATAATGCATCAGTAGGAGTAGGACTAGTGCAATATTAATTGAAAGTAAACTGAACAGTTCTAATCAATCACCTGAAACCTCACAGGTACTTCTTATCGGAGGATCGACGGGCACCATGCTGGAAGCTTTGGATGTAATTGGTGATGAAAACAGATCAATAGAAGTAAGCGTCGTTTTTTTTTTCATAATTCTGAATGGCTTGTCACTACTCTCTTTAAGACTTAAGATGGACCTGGGCTACAGAATACTGTTCCAATTTCTAGAAGCAAAAATATTATCATCAAAGGTGGCTGATTTGGTTATCTTGTTTCCATTGCCCATCTGGTTCATCCAATGAGACTACGGTTGATTAACTGTGTTATTGGTCATTGCACGATTTAGGTTATTTGGTCTTGTATAATTTGCTTGTTTCTTATACTTTAAAGACAATTAGGAGTTAGGACTAAAGACTTCTGTGTGACACCACTTGCAGAATTATGACGACAACAATGGTTACATCCCCCCAACGTATGAGGAAGGTTCATCATCTGGAGGAGGATTAAGAATGAAACTGAAGGAATTCCACAAAAGGTACTACCTGTCTTATGTTTCCATTCGCTACACGTCATAACATGAAAAAAGGAAATGCTTATCGCCTTGTAATGATCATGCAGCACGACATCGTTCACTGCCCTTGACAGGAACTATCTGACTCCATTTTTCACCAGTCAAACTGATGAGGATGATGATGTCTTCGGTAAGTAGCTTATTCTTTTACATGGTAGCTAGCATACAAGAGTCCGCATGATACTGCAAAATGATCTTATTTGCCTAGTCTGAAATGTGTTGTATCGTAATTGTATTATCAACTTAATTTTTACTGCATGGGCTGCAGTTTTTTTTGATCTTTTCCCCTCAATTGCTGAGACTGTTCATTGTTGTCTTCTTGTTTTGTGATATAGGTGAACAACCCCAAAACCAGAGACGCGGATTCTATGACCAATAGCTTGGATGAGTTGCCACCTGACAGCCACATACACGATACTTAGCATGGTAGCATGTGATGAGATTGGAAGCGATCGTAAGTATACAACTTCTCATAGTTGAATAGCATATGAAAGAGCATACCGTAGGATAGATATCATAACACAACTTGATTCGTCGGCGATGACGAAAGCATGCTGCTTCATGTATATATTTTAGGCCTCGATTAGTACGTGGTGGAGCTGTAATGAGACAAAAATGATTGTAAGGGAAAAAAAACTGAGCCCAAGCCCATGTCATGAGTTAGAATGATTGCAATAACCCAGAGCTGATCATTGGCAGCTTACTGTCAAGTTGGAAAAGCATGTTAACCAAATCACCAGCTGTGTCATTGGCTGGTCTTGAAGTTACTGATCATCATTGGGGCTTAAATCATTCATGTTTGAAAACTTGTCGAATTTCCGATGACACTTGTTGGCTGTTGCATTCAATATGATAGTGGTACTAGTACTAGTAGTACCATATTGTCCTTGGATGTGCCGTGTTGATGACACTCAAAATATCTGCCGTTGTCCGGCTACTGAATAGAAATTGGCCATTATGCCACTCCCAAGAGTGGGTTTCGCCAAAATGCCATTCTGCCGAATGGATTCGTTAAAATGCCATGTACAAGAGATACCAAACATTTGTTTTGCCATTTGCGCCAATTCTCTCCATTTTTACCTAATTTTGCATCTGGGCTGACCAAAATACCCCTTCGGGCTGGTTCAAGACCAGTACTCCGCAACACCTCCTCCGGCTGTGCCGCCGCCGCCGCCTGCGCGGACCAGTACTCCGCCGCGACGCCCGATAACTCCTCCGTCACGTTCGGTGACGACGAGGCCGACAACGAGTCGCATAGCAGCGAAGGCTACGAGCCCGAAGCCAAGTGCTGGTAAGCCATCATCACTCAATCAGCAATCAAAACGTAAATCTCCACGTGTGTGCATGTGTTCTTGGGTCTCATGGATGTCATGGCTGTGTGGTTTTAGGAAGGAGGATGCTGACAATGAGGGTAGCTCCGGCGGCATGGGCGGCGGCGCTGGCGGGAAGCCGGTGCGCAAGCCGAGGCTTGTGGTGCACACGCTGAGCGACATCGACGTCAACATCGACATCCTCGACGCCGGCTTCCGGTGGAGGAAGTACGGCCAGAAGGTCGTCAAGGGCAACCCCAACCCAAGGTAATCAATCAATCAATCTCCTCACTAATCAAAGAATTAACCAGATAAAATTCCGTCGATAAGTCGATCAATCTCTGTTCTTGTATGCATCTCTCTAATAATCAATCTGTTCTTGAATGGCAGGAGCTACTACAAGTGCACGACGGTGGGTTGCCCGGTGCGGTAGCACGTGGAGCGGGCGTTGCACGACACGCGTGCCGTGATCACCACATACGCCGGCGCCGTCGTCCAGCGCGATCCGGCCGTCGGCTGTCTCCGGCCAGCAGGGGCACTACACCCTCGAGATGCTCCCCAATCCCGCCTGCCTTTACAGCGGCTAACGGCGCCGGCGCGGCGTTCCAGCGCACCAAGGACAAGCCGCGGGACGACCTGTTCGTCGAGTCGCTCCTCTGCTAGTGCCACTGCTAGCCCGAGCCGATCTGGGCCCCACATCGCCTGCTTCCCATGTGACCGAGTTAGAACAAGCAGCCGAAAGGGCATTTTGGTCAGGTCGGGTGCGAAATTGGGTGGAAATGGAGAGAATTGGTCCAAATGGCAAAACAAATGTTTGGCATCTCTTGTGCATGGCATTTTAACGAATCCATTCGGCGGAATGTCATTCTGGCGAAACCCACTTTTGACAGTGGCATAATATCCAATTTCTCACTGTATTCACGTTACGTTGTTCATGACACTCGTAGTAACATAATTGCCGTACTCTTTGTTCCAAAATAAATCAAACTTAGATAGTAGGAGTACTTTGTTTAGATTCGGGGTAGTATTAGATTGTATCATAGTTGTACTTCAGTGTAACGTCGCTGCTCGTCGTCCCTGGTACACTGTACACGTAGTGCAGAGCTAAATATAATTAACAATATAATAATGATGGTTGCAGCAATAAAACTTGTATGAATTTATTGCCTATTTATTTATTACAATGAATACTCCCTCCATACTCATAAAGGAAGTCGTTTAGGACAGCGACACGGTCTTCAAAATACAACTTTGACTTCTCGTTTCTATAAAAATATTTATTGAAAAGTGATATATTTATACTTTTATGAAAGTATTTTTCAAGACAAATCTATACATATAATTTTTACATTTTTAAACTCAACAGCTTGAGAGTTTTTCATAATTTATATTCTCAAGGTTTGACTTAAACATTGTTCTAAACGACTTTCTTTACGAGTACGGAGGGAGTATCTAATAACAGGTACAGTAGAAAGGTTCCATAGCCATAATTTGAAGTAGTACTACGTCAGTTTGGTCCTTGACGTAGTTAATTGCAATACTTGATTGATGAATAATGAGCCAACAAAGATGTCCTGAATCATCTACGGGGAAAAGCATTCCCTAATTTTTTTTGCCGCTCCTGATGTTTTATGCGCAAAACGTACGAGGCCCCATCGTTTCCTCTATTTAGCATTAGTTGCTACCAAAATTTTAATTTTAAAATTTAATTTTTGAAGTTGATTTTGAAGCTTTTTTCCATCTAATTTTATTTTTAGAATTGGCATTTAAGTCGCTAAAATTAGAATGAGTCCATGGGACATTGGGTTCCGCCAACAAAACAAGAGGAAACCGGTACCTGCGAGACTGGCGAAGTCGGCACAAGAAGTAGGCAAAGCTAAAGAGGATTTTGAGTCCTCTGCTCTAACCAGCCATATTATTATTTTGCTAATACACCGTATGACGTATTATCCATATTCGGCCAAAAGGCCTAAAACTCAAAAGAAGAGGTTATGTTCAGATTGGAGAGAATCGTTTATTCGCACTCATGTTTCCTAAATGGCTAAAAATACGTTTCTTTTTAAATATTTATATAGAAAAGTTGCTCTAAAAACCATATTAAATCTACTTTTAAGTTAAAAAGAAATTAATAATCAGTTATTTATGCGGTCGGCTCATTTTGCAATCTCCATTTGTAGAAATCCTGCGTTTTCTCTTCACCAAACGGGTTTGTGTTACATTATCGAGATCACCGATGATGGATGTTGGAACGCCGATGACGCCGCGGAGAGCTCCCCCGTTTTGGTCGGTGGAGGCGGCAACCCCGCCATCACCACTCGACTGCAACAACACACAAAGGGACAAACACAGATCAGCCGTTCATCTGGCGACCCCGCATCTGGCAAAATCCTCACGGGGCCTCACATCCCCTTTCTCGCCGGCGCCGTATTAAAACAACCCGATCCCTCGAAACTAGCCGTTACGCGTCAACGGCTACTTCTCCTTATCCCCACCTCCTCCTCCTCCCCCCCCTCTCTCTCCTCCTCCTCCTCCATTCCGATCTGGTCAGATCGCCGCCTCCCATGGCCATCGCCGCGCCGCCCCCGCCCCCGCCCCCGCCCCAGCGTACGGACATGCCGGCGGCAGCGGACCTGCCACCACCCCCGCCGCCGCTCGCGATCCCGCTCCCGGAGACCACGCGCCGCCCGCGCCGCCGCACCAGGGAGGTCAGCTCCAGGTACCTCTCCTCCACCACCCCGGGCCCCGTCCCCTCCTCCCCGCGCCTCTCCACCTCCTCGTCGCGGACCCCGTCCCCGAGGGCCCACCGCCCCCGCGCCGCCACCCCTTTCGCCAACGAGAACCACCCGCCGCCGCCGCCTCCGCCGTCCACGGCGTCACGCAGGCGCGCCGTCCTCAAGCTGTTCGACGACGGTTCCGGCGGCGCCAACCCGCGCGCGTCGGCTGCGGCTGCGGCGGGGACGCCGCGGGCCCTGCACCGGTCGACGAGCGGGCCGGCGGCGGCCGCGGCATCCACCGCGCGGAGAGGGTACCCGCGCATGCCGACGCCCGCGCGGGCCGCCTCCTGCCCGTCGTCGTCGTCCGCGGCGGCCGCGGACGACGCCGCGTCCTGCTGCTCCTCCGACACGGGGTCCACCTTCACCGACCTCTCCGAGGTCGACGGGATCGCGCTACCGGCCGCGCCATGCGAGAGCCCGCCGCTGCTCGGCCCAGCGTCCTGCCGTGGGGGCCGTCTCTCGTCGGAGCTCCGCTCGTCGGTGCCTGAGTCCGGTGGATCAGTGAGGGCGTTGAACCCGCTGTGCTACCGCTCGCTCAATTCGGCCCTGTCCGGTTGCCCGGCGCCGGCGGGGAAGGCGGCGGTGAACGCCGCGAGACCACCGCAGCCGCATGGGGTGAAGGCAGCCGAATCGAAGAAGGTGGCCATGATTGGAGGGAGGAAAGTCCCCGGGAAGCAGGAGGACGTGCACCAGCTCAGGATGCTGGAGAACTCCTACCTCCAGTACAGGTTCATGAACGCCCGGGCAGAGGCCGTGGCAAGGGCCAAGGCTTCAGTGGCAGAGGTGAGGTTTTCTTTCACGACTGGCTTGTTTTGCTGATCTGAACCTCGATGATTATGGAATTTGGAGTCCCAATTAGAATACTGATGATGTGGTTTCTTCCTCTCTTGGATGAAGAAATCCCTCTTTGGGCTTGAGGAGAGGATCACTGCGCTGCGGGTATCTGTCGCCGAGAAGAAGATGGAGGTGGAGAGGATGAGGAGGGAGCAGACATTGCGCTCTGTTGTTGATGCTCAGGTATAGCGAAATTGGGCTCCTCCTTCTTTCTGTAAATTTTGAATTGCTATGGGGCGTTTTGCGTAGTAATTGGTCCAAATGAAAATGAATGAATATTGAATTCGATGCGTGGGAAAGTGGTGAATTGATGTATCACATGATGTATCAAATAATTTACTGACTCATGTGACTTGGGGTAGTGTTATTTTGCACCAACATCACAAGTTCACAACCTTTCATCTCAGTTGTCATTCTATGGTACTCGGTAAATTGGATCCATACGTTTATCTTGAAATCCAGATCAACCCACTGGCCTGCATTACTAGTTTAATCTCTGAATATTTTTTAAGAAAAAGAGGAACATGTTATTTTTAAGAAAACTTAACCTGTGGCTCCTTTTGTTTTCCTATTCTAGTATTCTGTTGTACTATCAAATTTAATATTCAGAGAACCTAAGAGCTAGAAGCCACCAAATTGAGAGAAGACCTATACTACTGACTGCATTATTATAACAGTAGATTTATCATGTTATTATGACATAAGTTTTACAATGTTATTATGACAGTAGTTTTCATCATGTTCGACTTGTTAAAATTTCTTTTCTGGCCAAACTTTCAGGTACCGCACTTGGATCAATGGTGTGATCTTGAGGGGGATCATTCAAGCTCTCTTATCGGGTTAACATCAGCCCTGTATAATTCTTCACTTAGACTACCAGTCATTGGGAATGTTCGGGTATGGTTTCATTTTAACCACGTCCAATGCTACATCAATTATGAAAGTAATGCAGATTAAGCATTTCATTATTTGTATTAAGGGGAAAAAATTCTTCTACTGTTTGCAGGCAAATAGCGAGGAAATTACAGAAGTTCTCAACTCTTCTGTACAACTGCTGGAACCAGTGTCTTCTTGTGTTAAAAATTTTCTACCAAAGGTGAGAAACCATATTAACCTTAAACATTTTACACCTTTCCAAGAGTTTGGGAGTTCGTAATGCCACATGTAAACTTATTGGAGTGGCTCCTGGCCCTGGGGAGTTAATGCAATAGAACGTATGACAGACCTTTGAATACCATACCAAGTCCTGATAATCTTATTTTACAACTTTGATCCATAAAGTAAGAAAGCTTCATCTAGGAACTTCACTGTGTTCTTCCATTGATGCAAATAAAATCTATCTGTGTCCAGGTTCAAGAAGTTGACGATGTGGCTGCTAAGCTTGCCCAAGTTATAGCTAGTGAAAGAGTTGCGATTGAGGAGTGCGGGAATCTCCTCTATCAAGCTCACAATTTGCAGGTATTGTTTTGGACATTTCGTGAAATTTCGTGAAATACCTACCTACCGCGTTAATGATTTTGAATTTATGTAGATGCGAGAGTATAGCTTGAGGAGCCAAGTCATGCAACTGAAGCAGCAAGACGAACCAAAATGAAGAAAGAGGAGTTCAAAAACAAACACGCACCAAACTCATTTGTTTGACAGGCAGAACACAAATTTTTTGTTTGTGCTTATTTGTGATCAGGCCAGCTGATCATACATGATTAAAAGCAGAAGCATCCTTCTGCACGGCCCAAGATTCTTTGTGGTACATATGTTAATTCTTTTGTCGGTCATTTGTTTCTGTCATCATAGAAGCATTCTTGTTTGTTAGTGTTCGTAAGAACTGTCAGAATTGTGGTTCTGCAAATCAAAATTTTGTTTATTCTTTGTATATATACTTTCCATAAATAATTATTGACTTAATTTTCTTTCAGAAAATCCAGAGACGACTTGTGTGAAGAAAGTTGTATTGCCAATAGATGTAGAACTAACTCGTAAAAAGATTGAGAAGATCAAGTTCTTTTACCCACTAATAATCCTTGAATTGCTAGCAACTATAAAACTTACTAGCACCTATGTTCAAGATAATACTAGCTTTAAAATCAAAATTATCAGCCATAATATTATTCTTGCCCAGGCTCTAAAAAATTTCTAGATCCATGTATACATACGTATAAACTTTGTATATACGTAAATAAACTATATACAGGGCGGCACCCATCCATCAACTTGTAGCATTGCATTGAGGACCGTGAGTTTATTTTGGTCCCATTATCGAACAAACTAGCCACAGACACAACGTTGTCAGAAAAGCCACCAAAATTCACATTGATTTATTACATTGACCATACCTGCAATGCCGGATGCACTGCAACTTTTGACGGGCAAGTCTATACATGCAAAATATTTTTTACAAAACTCGTACTAAAATTTTCTTACGTGGCAATGCCGCGAGTAAATGAGATTTCCTACAAGTCGCACCTAGTTAAACCAAATAGTTAAAGAGTATTTTGTAAGAAAATTTTAGGCTGTGTTCGCATGTGGATGATGGGAACATAGTGACTCCGCACGGAAAACGGAGCAATCCATTAGCACGTGATTAATTAAGTATTAGTTAATTTTTTTTTCAAAAATAAATTAATTTGATTTTTTAAACAACTTTTGTATAGAAACTTTTTGTAAAAAATACACCATTTAGCAGTTTGAAAAGCGTGCACGCGAAAAACGAGAGATTTGGGTTGGGAACCTAGAGGTCCGAACACACCCTTAGTATGCTCGTAGCTGTGCTCAATTTTAAAATTTTACCCAAATTATGAAGTCCAACACCAAATGTCCAATGCCCTTCGTCCTAAAAGATAACAACATGTCACATATATTAATAAAGTAGGTGGAATTATATAAGAGAAGGGTGTAAATAGTTAAAAAGAGAAAATATATGGATAAATTAAATGTAAGGTATTTGGTTGAGATAAGAGAGTAGTACTCCCTCCGTTTCATACTATAAGACTTTATTGCCCACATTCATATAGATGTTAGTGAATCTAGACACACATATATATGTTTAGATTCATTAATATATATATGAATATAGACAATGCTAGAAATTCTTATAAATATGAAATGGAGGAAGTAGATAAGAAGTTGTATTTTAGAATGGAGGGAGTACTCAAAAGCCAAAGTTAACATGAATTTTTCCCTTATTTATATATACACCGCCCATCTTGGCTTCGTGAAATATTTGTCTTAAAATTAAGGCAAATTTTGCTACAGGACATTGTGACTTCGCGGTTTTAGCTGTAGGATACCGTATGAAGTGACTTTGAGGGAAGACACACTATAAATATGGTAATTTCCTAGCGGACACCGCAACTATTACAATAATAATTTCTTGTAGAAGGGGAGAAAAAATCGTGTGAAATGTCAGAAATACCCCTGGACCCACATATTAGCTCTCCCATCTCTTTTCTCTCACCCACAAGTTTTTCTCTCTCACCCAACCATGGCAGGTGGTGGCAGCGACAACAATACCTTTAATTAAATAAAGGTAATAAAAGTGGACCAGGGATTAAAGTATTTAATATCCTAAATCAAAGGAATACTTTGCAAACCCCTAACTAAAAAGTACTACCAACAACAAATAATTAAATCTTCCAAATATAAGAAACATCACTGAAACACATGAATTAAGATCCTCGCTCACAATGGGAATTGATTATATTTCCCCAAATAGTGAATACCAAAATAAATTTAGAGCTGGTTGAGTTCAAGCCCTAACTAATTATATGTTTGCTATAATTATAAAACGTACCCTTCTTAAATATTAGAAAACTATTTTATAAGCAGAAAACCTAGACAACGGTATCCCGTTGGAACGGAATACCCTTCTATGAGACAGGACCTAATACCTAATATCTGTTGTGGTACCAGCTGCATGGTACCCGATATATGTGATACCTGTTACTCGGTACCTGTGATACTTAGGACCTGATATCTGTGATACTCATGTAAGAGAATACTTAATATGTTTATCCCGTTGCAACGGGATCCCGTTTTGTAGCATCCCTCTTTTATAAAACCCTTCTCCTCAGGAAGATATTTTCAAACTAGTCTCTATAATCTTCTCTTAAGAAGAATAAATGCATAAAATTATTTCCAAAATCTTCGGGCCCAAACCCTAGCCCTAGAAAGTCTCATGGACAAGTTCATTTTGGGTCCCTCAATTTGACGCCAAGTCTGAAATTCGTACCTGACCGAAAAACTAGATACAACGCATTCCCAACCTTGCAAAACTAGTGTAAACGAGGTCCTTAATAGTAGTGCTATTGGTTTTGACCAACATGACGACTATGTGGATCCTTTGACTATATTTTCATCCCATGTGATGCTTACATAACAATTTGATAGAAAAAAATGATCAAATTAATAAAATAAAATAAAATAAAATATGGAGGTCATATATCAGTCAAACAAAAATATAAAAATAGTAAGACCCACGTGTTAGTGAGGTCTCCCACTTCGTCCACCGCACCCTCCCTACCTCTATCTACTCTCTATGTGGCTCTACCGTTGAGGCGAAGTAAGTGGGGAGGCCGGCAGGAGGCAGCCGGGGAGGCCGGCGAGGGGGGCGGGGAAGGCTGGCGAGGAGGGTGGAGCTGCCATCGAGCAAGCGACCGTGCCACCTCGCCGTGCGGTAGCCACCGCTTAGCCCCATTTTGCCCGTTCTCGGCCGCAACCCCCGTTCTGCTCGCTCGCGCTGCGCCGGCCGTCGTTCCCCTCCGTTCAGTGCCACACACTCTCGAACAAAGTTAGATCGATCTCAACATGTTTGCTTCATATATTGGTGTTGAATAGGATTCCACGAAAAAAAATGTCATTATCACAATAAATCAAAGTTGCCTACTTGCCTTGGAAGGGGAGCATATAATTCATGTAGAAGTTATTGTAGTTAGCTAGTTTCGGCCACAACATTGGCAAAAGCACCAATATTCAGCCTCTGCCCGGGAACGGGATAGCCTAAGATAGAACTAAACTAAAAACAACTATAAAAGAAAAACTTACAACATTATGAATGTCTAAGAATTAATTTAATCAAATATAAAAATAATTCACATATATGATGAAAGCAATTTACACATAAAAAAACTTATATCTTTATCAAAATATAATAACATAAAATCTTGTTATAAATATTTAGTTACAAATAGGGGTGATAACGGTAACGGAAATTTCCGGCCGACCGATGTTCATTTCCGACTTTGGTAATTGACTGAAATAAAAATGGAAATGGAAACGGAGATGGTTCTGTTGATATACAGATCGTTTATGTATTTACTATTCTTTTGTGGAAATTACCGTTTCTTATAATATGGTAATAACCGTATTTCTAAATATGTCGAGATTTATAGGGTATTTCTACTGAGACATACTAACTCTTCAATCAGTCTCTAAAATAGAGTTAATTTATAATTTATGTAGTATAAACTTAAATTTGTTTATACATATTACATAGTTATGTAAAGTTAAATATATTTTTTTAAAAGTTTAATGTTTCCGTTACCAGTTTTAGATCTGTACTGACATGTTTCCATCCGTACTGTTCTATTTTTGGTTTTCTGATATTTCCGATATCGTTTTCGTTTCCAACTTTACCGTTTTCTATTTCGTTTACGAGAAAAATATAGTTATGGAAATGATTGAGGCTATTTTCCGATCATTTTTGACCGTTTTCATCCCTAATTACTGTCACACCCTGAAGTTCTCCTTCCAAGCCTAATTGGAATTAATAAATGACCCCAAGAAATTATCTGTGTAATGGCAAGAGAGAAACCCTAATTTAATAAATGCAAATAATAATCGGAAATGGCATGTGGAATTTTTTTTGGGTTCTACATGTCAAAATATGCTAACAGGATTTTTAGTGGAATTTTCATAGCCCTAGAAATAATTTTAATCAATTAAAATTGAGCACAAGCAATTATTGAACCCCTGGAAAATCTTTTTCCCTTTTTCCTTTCGTTTTCCCTTTTTTTCCCTAAATGCGCCGTCGGTCCACGCGCCAGCTGGGCCGGCCCGACGCCGAAGCCAAGCCAGCGGCCGCCCCGCGCCCCTCCCCTCTCCGGGTCGCCGACAGGTGGGGCTCACCAGTCGGCACCGTCTCCCACCTCCGGCCGCCCGCGCCCGTGCCCGCAACCGCCGTTCCCACCTTTCCCACGCGCCCCGCGCACGTCGCCCACCTCTCATCGCTCCCTCCCGCACGTCCCGCAACCGCCGCCCCACTTCCCCCGTGCGCCCGCGCCGAGAAATAGCCAGGATTCGATTTGTCGAATCCCGCCAGCGTTCTCTCTCCACCCCCCAACTTCGCCGGCCACTCCCCGCCAATCCCGGCCACGTCTCGCCCCCTCGCGCCTATGTAAAGCACCCCCGCCCCCTCCTCCACCTTTTTCCCGTTCTCGCCAAGCTCTCCCGTGCACCCCACCGCTCTAGCGCCGTCGCCCTCTTCTCCGCCGCCGCCGCCGCCGCTCCGGTCACCGCTAGCCGCCGCTAGTCGCCGCGCCGAGCTGCGCCATCGATGCCGTCGCATTCGCCGCCCCGAGGGCCACACTGTCCACCCCTTCCCCATCTGATTCCGCCGCCGAAGCCCGTTTCCCTCCACACGCCGGTGAGCCCGCCATGGCCGCCGCCTTCGGCCGGCGTCTCCCCCTGTCTCACTCCCTCTCACCTTCTCTAATCTCTCCCATTTCGTCCCTCAGGTTGTTCCGGAGCCCGTCTCGCCGTCGCCGCCGTTTCCCGCCGTTCGCTGTCGTCGATCCTCATCGTTGAGGCCTTCCCCCTTTTCCCCTCTCTCTCCCGCGCCGCCTAGCACTGCCGCGCCGTTGTGCCGCCGCCTAGCCGCATCGCCGCCGCTTGCTGCCGTCGGTCCCTCGCTGCCGCTTGCCGCC